TCCCTCTCCAGCCATATTCCCTCCGCAGAGCGAAAAAGCAGAGTGCCAGTTCCACCGCCTGGGCTGCCACTGGCTCTGCTGGGGACATTAGGACCCTCTCAACACTGGTGCTGCTTTGGCAGCACCCCGTGGGTGATGACTCTTGCTGGTGGTGGGAACGGTGCTGCAAAATGCCAGCTGGGAAGAAACTGGAAGTAGCAACCAAAGGGTTAAGCGTGCAAATGCATGGAAACAAAGTCATCGCGTCTGAAGCTGAAAATAAGAATGTGCCACCTTTAAAAGGAAAGCAGCTCTAAAAGAAGAAAGCTCGCAGTGTGAGCTCATCCCTCATGGCAGGGTGACACGGGAGATCACCTCCGAGGTATGGCAGGGCAAAGCATCCTCCTCATTACCGCTGCGGGTTTGTAACCAGAAGATGCAACACCTGATCTCCAGTGGATGCTGAAGGGCACAGCAGACCACAGTCAGTACCGATTGCACCGGCAACAAGAGCTTGGAATAATTTGTGTTATTATCAACCTCGCTACAGCCTGAGGACATGAAGCCCTTCCCTCCTGCTCACCAGCACAGCCCACCCGAGCAGTGCTCAGGGGCCCTGATTGGTCCCCACCACCAGGTTGCCATTGACAGAGACTGGTGGAGGAACGTGCCCATCACCATGTACTCCTCCATGCCCCAGTCACCACCAACCCTGCACCTGGGGCAGCCCCACTGCCACCAGCCACCGCACACAAGGCAGGAGGCATCACCCATGGGCTGTAGCAGGAGATGGGAGCCATTGGAAGGCAGAGGTGATCTCTGCACCCAAAAGCCAGAAGTTAAGAGGGTTAACGAGCGGTTTTACACCCAGGAGAAGCAGGGAGCTGGGCAGGTCATCTGCAGTGCTGATAGACCATCAAGGTGTGCCTGAGGAGGACAGAGCCCTGCAGAAAAATCAATGGCTCATTTGCCGGGGATCAGGCAGGGAGTGGTTCCCACATCACAGCCTGTCTTCAGACAGGGTGAAGTTGCTGCTAATTCAAGTACCCCTGAAAAAAAAAAACAGGCAGGTCAGCTGTAGTGCTGATAGACCATCAAGGTGTGCCTGAGGAGGACAGAGCCCTGCAGAAAAATCAATGGCTCATTTGCCGGGGATCAGGCAGGGAGTGGTTCCCACATCACAGCCTGTCTTCAGACAGGGTGAAGTTGCTGCTAATTCAAGTACCCCTGAAAAAAAAAAACAACTGCTGATAGACCATCAAGGTGTGCCTGAGGAGGACAGAGCCCTGCAGAAAAATCAATGGCTGATTTGCTGGGGATCAGGCTGGGAGTGGTTCCCACATCACAGCCTGTCTTCAGATAGGGTGAAGTTGCTGCTAATTCAAGTACCAGCGAAAAACAAAAAAACCAAAGGGCTTTTAGAGCAAATCAATGGAGGGAAGAAGACTGCAAGAGCAGCAAGAGGAGCTTCAGTATCAGAATGGCATGTGAGCAACCACCAGGTTCAGCCCAAGCAGGACGGGGCTGGCAGTGCCACACACCCCAACACCAAGGGATGAGGCCGAGTTGAAACAAGGAAGCCCCAAATCTGCACCGCAGTGGTGCTGGGCACAAGCACCAGAGTTTGCGTTACCCACCCCACGGCACAGGGACCGACCAACACCAGACATGCAGAAGGCTTTATTGAGGCCAGCACAAACATGGGCCCGGGCCCAGCCCGCAGAGGGGGGCAGGCTCCCCTACCGCTGTTAAGAGGCGATCAGGACAGCACAGACAGGCCGCAGCTACACTAACCCACCCCTCCAACCCAGCTGGGGGCCTTACACTCTATATGGAGGTCCCTGCTCCCAGCGCCGCATTATAAACCGCAGCTCGGCCCCGCTCCTGAGAAACGCACCTATCACAACCCATCTAGCGACGGAGTGGCAACTCTGCACCCAATCAGAAGCCGCAAGAGGCGGGACACTCTCCGCGATGGGTGCCGGGGTCCCTCACCCAATCCGTTCCCCGAGAGGCGGCCGCACTCTCTGAGTGACACCTCGCCCTCCAATCAGCACCCGCTCCCTCTTCCCGGCTGGGCTTCGCCAATGGCCGCAGAGTGACGCGCCCTTCTCTCCCCCCGCCCCCGCCCTCCCACACCCCCGCCCGCCGCGGGGCCAACGGGAGAGCAGCGGCGCGGCGGAGGGGG